TGTGTGTGTGTGTGTGTGTGTGTGTGTGTGTGTGTGTGTGTGTGTGTGTGTGTGTATACAAATATATATGTATATAGATATACATATGTATATGTATGTATATGTATATATATATAATAATATATATATATATATATATATATATATATATATATAATATATATATCACATATGCATATATACATAATTTATATTGATAGTGAGTGAGTGAGTTTGTCAGTGAGTGAGAGGAGACGCGACAGGAAGTAGTGAGAGAGAGGAGAGAGAGAGAGAGAGAGAGAGAGAGAGAGAGAGAGAGAGAGAGAGAGAGAGAGAGAGAGAGAGAGAGAGAGAGAGAGAGAGAGAGAGAGAGAGAGAGAGAGAGAGAGAGAGAGAGAGAGAGAGAGAGAGAGAGAGAGAGATGGGGAGGGAAGGGGAGGGAGGCGACCCCTGACATTCAGCTGGCCAGGGTCGATACGGGTGCCGCCTCTACTGCAACCTGCAACCTGCACCACACACCGCACTACCACACTCTCACTATCACAGCCTGCAAGACAATCTGCATTACAGTACGCAACCTCATACTTTCACCAGACAACCTGCACCGTATATTACAAAACCGTATACTGCGTAGCGACCGCTGTCAACTAATATAATGGAGCAGAGAGAGAGCGAGAGAGAGAAAGAGTGAGAGAGTGAGTGTAATGAAACATAAGCTGAAAACTAACAACTGATAGGCCAATCCCAAAGAAGCGTACAAAGTGATTTGAATCCCCACATTGTCAAACAAATCTTGATCAGGATTAACTTTACTTTCAGTGGCGAAAATTTTCGAAGTTTCACTTCTCCGTACACACACGCAATCTAAATAAATCGTCTTAAATACCATTTAGTTATACAAGAATTTCGGTCTGTGATTTACATTGCATTCCCTTCCAAATCAAAGTAAAGTTCCAGAATATTCGGTTTGAAACCAGGACCTGACCAAAACGTTTAGTATGACTCGCGTCATCTTTTCGTGCACTTACATAGTTCCTAAATCTGACAAAATTATTTATCCTTCATTTCTTACAATTGTACCGTCAAGCTTCGTCATCCAGCATTTGAATCAGTGATCTTACACATACATACCGCTTACACACATCATAATCTTGCATTGTGCACCATGCATACTACATCATTAGACTGTGCCAACAGTCCATTGTCTTTCCCATAGTTTTCCATGTTCCGACTATACTGCCGAAGAAGTTACTGTTGAAACGATCGGGCCGTATTCTCTGTTAAGAATTTACCTTTTAATTTACTTTATGACCCAAAATAGCCTGACGTGCTTTAACAAACCATAAAAAAATACTAATATACCAATGCTTAACGACAGCCTGTTCACTCAGCGTGCTTCGCCCCAGCAGATATGACACAAAATCTGTGATGATAACAATGGCTACTCAAAATCGCATCGAAACTACATCGTATCGCAGACTCCTAACAGCCCTTCGTCTAACGCAGATGAAGTGCAGTGCAGAGCACGGTGTGGCATAATGACGGGTTACTAATAGCTGCAACAGGGCAATCATGAGGCCGCTGCTTCCATTCAATTCGGCGAGTTCTTTCCCAAATCCAAAATGCAAAGATATTGCCTCGTAGATTAATAATAAGAAGAGGTCATCAGCCGGACATTCATAATAACTGAATTAAGAGCTTTTGATAAATGAAGATACACGTAAAGCTAATTCAGAAACATTGTGAACGTTCGCGGACTCACTCACTCGTGATCTTTCGAACTCCACTTCCTCGAAAACTGACCGGCATTTTATTCAAGGTAGGAAAACTACCGTGCATGATGCAATCACAACGAAGGCGGTACGTAGCAGGATAAAGTCCATAAAGTCATATATACGAAATCCAAGACCAGATCTTGCGTGCAATATCTTTCAACTATTCAATTTAGAGTGGTAAGTGAGAAAAAACGAAAAGGACACCATAAAAATTAGACAAGATTAAATATACCGAGAAATTCCCAAAAAGCAAGCAGCATAAATATAAACAATGTTGTTCATCGACTACTCACCTAGGGTGTGAGTATTCCAGAAGACGCCAGAGAAAATTCGTTTACTAATTCCATGCTCCAAGTGTGAAGGAAATGCAAACCCCTTTCACGATAAAATGATCATATTTCTTTAGTTTCTGAAATCCTCAAAAGTGAATCTCGTATTATTGACGTCTACTTGTGCAATAGCCATTTCATGCTCCGCTTCCCAGTTCAATCAACGAAGGCGGATTTTAGCATAAGGTTTAATTACATTTTTTTTTTTTAAACTCTCGTACGAGAAAACAATAAAGGCTACATATTAATTCAGATCTAATGATTTGTGTGCACTGTATGGTTTTACGTCGGAACGCACGCGCACATACACACGCAGAGAGAAAGGGAGATGGGGGAGGGAGGGGGAGGAGGGAGGAGGAGGAGGAGGAGGAGGAGGAGGAGGAGGAGGAGGAGGAGGAGAGGAGGAGGAGGAGGAGGAGGAGGAGGAGGAGGAGGGAGGGAGGGAGGGAGGGAGTGGGGAGGAGTGAGGAGTGAGTGAGAGAGAATATGTGCATCATTCTATAAATACTCAGGAAAACCCGATAAATGGTTATGAAAACGTGATTGCATTGTCCATCTACAGGCATAGAGACCGGCAAATGCAAGCTTCATACGCAATACTTTTTAGAACAGGAAAAATGATGCAAGAAGGTCAAGCATTTTTTTCGAGTGAAGGCGAGATTTTACGGAACCGCTCCGTTGTCCTGGTTAATTCTGCCTTAATTCGTTTCTCTGGATTTGTTAAACCCAAGAGGTCAAGTGACTTAAAAAATCGTATACAAACAGCAACAAATTCACCAAAGTAAACGACTAACATTTTGACTGCGCTAGGATTTAGCACAGACATAAAATATTGATGTATATATGAATATGCTCACATACATATCTAAACACACATGCACGCAGGCAAACACACACACACAAACGAATCGCAAGACACACTGCCGAGAAACGCAACGCCCATACAGAAAGAAGGATGTTCGCTAGTCCTGAAGCGAAGAAGGCTGGAAGGTAGGCGGAGGTCTCTCGAGCGGGGCCTGCAGGTGGTGGTGGCTGTGTCCATGACGCCAGATCGATGGATGACTCACTTCCTTGCCAACATCCCCTCCCCTCCCAGCCTTCTCCCCCCACCTGGACAGCTTCTGGTACTCTCCACATACTGGAAGGCGGCGCTCTCCCTCTACTGCGCACTGCATCGCCAATGCTTACGTCGCAAAATATGCTGTGCTCACGCTAAGAGAACCGAATAGAAGGCTTCGAACTCCACACTGGGATCGCCATCAAATGACCCGATCTGTAATCAACTTGCCAAGCAGGTATTACATAAACATCAACCCACAACGAGCCTTCTAATTATCGCCTTCGCCAGCCTTATACGCAACGCACATTGCACTGCTGATATCGTCTATCATTATTCTTACATCACAATTACGTTCAATCTCTCATGTTGTAATGTCTGACAACCAATATCCGAGAAATATATCACCCATTTCTAATTGCATGACAGAACCCTCGTCCTATGAACAAACATATGCAGCTCCTCAAACGGCTAAATGCTGTGTTCGGTCACTACGCAACCAATGTTTTGTTTGGCTTCTTTCTGAGCGCACAAACAAAAAAAGCAATTCAACTAAATATTTCTCAAACAACATAAATATATATAATATATATATATATATATATATATATATATATATATATAATATATCAAATGTCTGTTTAACCAAATATGGCATGAACTGATAATTGACATTTGTAAAACTTACGCGTAGGTTACACTTGGGAAACAACGTTCCTTTGTTAATAGTCAGTTCACAACATCAAAAAGTGAACATGATACATCAGTACAAATAATGAGCTACAATCCATCCGTAGACCTACCTGGTAGCACGGCCGCCGTAGACGGTAATACAGGCCGCATATTCCACATTCCACTGCCGTCACTTCCCAAAGGTGATCACGTTCCCACTATGCCCACACTCACAGTATTATCAACTCTACTTTGCTTAATTTAAGCACTACACTGTAACACTATCGTAGATATAATCACTAGGGTATGGACAGCACTGCACTTATAAGTATAGCCATTGATTCATACCAACTTGGATATAACCTCATATCATTTACAAATAGGGAGAATATTACCACTGATCACTGCACGGTTGATCTACGTGCTCGTGGCCAAAACAAGCCTCACTTAGCACCATCACTGAGCACCTGGCACCACTACACACTATCACACTACACAGTGAGATGATCATCTGCCACAATAAAGAGCAAGCAGCAGACTCCATACTTCCATCCAGGCGTCGGTAGTCGAGAAGTGTCGATATAAGGTTAATCCTATACTTGCTGTACATCCCAGGACCGGCGCTTAATTCCATGGCAGGTATCCCGATATAATCCTCCTCTGGGTTGCTTCCGTTGGGAAAAATAGGATGAAAAATAGCACAGGCACACCACTATATACATGGGTCCACCACCTTTCGAATGCCACTTTCGACACTGAATATTACACAGGGACTGACGTATAATCTCGCGAAAAGGCTTGACACTTCACTATTAACCACTAACACACTACTTTGCGGAGACATCATCACTGCAGTCAATAAGTCACATGTGCTTTGATAGTGTGGGTTCCAAAACCTCGATAGTGACACAATCGAGGCAGAACAGCTAATAACCTCCCTCTCTGGCGTGGCACAGCCACCGTGATCACAACACAGGCCGGCGTAAAGAAGGATGGATTGTAAAGCTCCATGTACTGTAGCATCAGTTCACATTAGCAAAACGCGAAAGCGTTCGCAAAATGAAACACGGTAGTTTTAAAATGAAATATGGATAATTTCGTATGTAAAAACCTATGTGTATCATAGATTTGAGAACGCTTCATACAGGCTATCTTAAGTAGCTAAAATACTTGCAAAAGATTACTTACCCAGAGAATCTGGGACTGCGGGCGGCTAGGGCAGGGTTGTTAGAATTGGGCGCGGGTGGTGGCGTGGGCGTGTACTGGTGGGAGGGCGGTTCCCTATGTAGGTGAATGGGTGGGGTATATTGGGGCGAGGAGAGGGCACTCAGGGAGGCCTCGTGGTAAGTAGTCTTGAGGCAGCGGTCCTCCAACCGATTATCAGCTTTATGGGCCTTAGCTGCCGAGCAGATATCCACGAAGGCCACGGTGGCGCATATACCTGCACTCCCTTCCTCGCCGCCCACTCCGCCCCCCGCCAGCACCTTAACACTCTGCACGGGGCCATAACTGAAAAAAGAGAAATGTAAATGATTATTATACGATCACTACGCACCAAGAAAAAGGGGATCAAGAACATCTTGTTTGGAAACGATTGCCAATACCGTTGCTCCCAGTATAGGTCGCTTTTCTATCCTCGCTAAGTGAAAACATCCCTCGTAATCGGAATACTTCCTTTCGCATCATACCATAAGCAATGCTGCCATCCTTTCGAGCGTTAACACGAGTAAATTAACACTTATGTACATACGCTGAACTCTACATCTATTTTAGCCATCGCCATTCTCCGCATAAACAAAGAGCAAAGTCGACGCGAGGCGGCGAGCAGCACGCCCTCGAGCCGCACAGTCGGGGTCTTGCTACACGGGAATCCCCAGTCCGTCCCGCCTCTGTCATCCAAGGCCTCAATCTAGTGAGCACTCGGAATACACAGGTCTACACTCGCTTTCAGAGCACGCATACGGGAATGAGACCCATGGTGAACAAAAGAGAATCTCATACGTGCATATCGTTTTACGGGGAGCAAGCTGAACAAGAGAGGCCAACTAAAATTGATCCTCTTTCCTTCCAGCATGCCTTGCTACCATTATTTACCAAATCTACAGGCCTCGGATCGCAATAACTCTGAAGATACATCGATGAAACAATTTATAAAAGGGGCACTAAAGAGACGAGCTTCAAAGGAAGAGCAGACCTCAGGCGAGATGCGAGGGGATTTAGACTGCAAGAATAAAGAGCACTATACTAGTTCCGTGTATGATAAGGATGACCTTAAAATACTGCTTCTTGGAGACATTCGTACAGGCTGGCACCATGCCACACCGTGCAAATTAATGTAAAAATATATAATCGTGAACAACTGGGGAAGTCACATGGTATGCCGACATTACTCTCTTTCGTGAAGACGACAGGAGAGGGAGCCGACACACCGGCATGGTATTTATAGCTCGTGAGGCGCCTCCTCATCCTTTCTCGAATACAAGTCTCTCTCCATGGCACCTACCCGCCGCCTTGGGAGGATTCATAACGCGGACATAGTTACCCTGGTATGTGGAAACAGGACAGCCCTGGACGCATACAGCATGTGGGTATTTGTGAGACCTGTGTGTGCTAATGCGTCCTATGGCAAAGCTACTTCATTTTCTTGACGCACCGCGAAATAATTCCTAAGACATTATGACGCCTAAACTGAGCAAAGGAGGCGCCTTATTTCGCCCTCGTGACTCGCAAGGGGAAAATATTACCTCGTGACATTTTACAATAACCTTGGGATGAACTACCGACCACATTCAATTACCCTGAAGGGAGAGAACAGGGGAAAAGGGAAGAAGGGGGAGGGGGAAAGGGAAGAAGGGGGAGGGGGAGGCCGAAAGAAAGGGAGGGAGGGAACCCGAGGGAACGGAAGGTTGGCCAGGTAAGAGCGCGCGAAGGGGGGAGGGTCGGGGGCAAGTGGGACAAGGGAATGGTCAGGGTTAACTAATGACAGGGTCGGAACAGCCCTCCTCTAGACCCTGCCTGGCGGACAACACCGCCCCGACCATTTCCATCACGTTGGCCAACCTTATCTGCACGCCATTAACAATCTCATCAAAGGCGCCAATTTACTCTACGTTTCATCAGCAGCCATTAACGTTTACCTTTTTCTTCTCCTTGTAAACGGTACTCTCATTTCCCTAAACAAAATCAATAACATTTCAGCGTTCTTACTTCTTCTGCGAGGCTTTCTAATTTTAAAGCAAATCCCTCTGATGACAATAACACATTCCCTTGAGTAGAATTAGCCCAGGCTCGGTACACCGACCAGTTTCTCCACCTACACCAGCCTGCCCTTTCTTCTGAGACAATAACCGAGTTTACGGCGTCGCCCTGAGTATACAATAAACATATAGAAAAATGGTGGCACTGAAACCACTTGGGCAAAGGTTTTCTTGTGAGCTTAACAGTATCCTCCTCCCGCTCTCGCTCGGCTACTTCTCAACCTATCAACCTCTGAATCATTCTTTTCATATCCAAGATCACCAGTTGTTTATGAATACCGCCTAATTCCCTTTCAAATGAAGCTTCTTGGTACTCCCTCACCAACAGGGAAGGGAAAGATTTTGTTATACGTGGTAACGTACTGTCGGTTACTGCCATAGGTGGAGCGAGAGATGACTTCATGTTCAAGTGGTGACGTCATAGTGAGAGCCAGTCGTGTCTAGGTGCTGTTCGCTGAAAATCTCTACATTATTAAAACTCGCCCTTCTTTACTTTTATAATATATTACACATGCAATCATAACAAAGCAGACCAGAGCCGTTGAAGCCAAAAGGCCACAATACTGCGACAAAGCCGAGGTCTAATAACGAGGCTCGATAATCTTACATCTGGCGGGAAACAGGCAGATGGAATGGCGGCAGCGACCCACACCACCGCCCGTCCCAGCCTGCGGGGGCGGCAGCACAAGACCGCTGTTGCAACCTCTCAAACACGTTCCTTCCAACCACACCACGCCTCAGAACCTGCTGTGACCTGCCCATCTTACCTGCTGCACACCGTACTTGGCCGAGCTGGATCTAACCTGCTTCCAACCCCCTTTCTGCTGTCAAGAGCGCGGCGGATGTGAGACCTACAACTGGGCCTCTCCATCATCACACCAACTTTTGTGGTGGTGTGACGAGTTCACATTTAATCCCATACTTTCATCATTACTAGTCTCAGGGCAGATAATGTGTATGAATGCATAATATACATCCGTGGAATTGCATATATGTGTATCTGCGTGTGCGTGTACGTGTACTTGTGTGGCTAGAGCGTTCTGCCGTGTAGCATACTCATGGGTTTTCCACACAAGGTAGACATTACAGGTGTTACGGAAGTTCCTCGGCTTAAGTCAATGACCGCTTTCACATGTCGCTGTGTTGGAGTCCCATATTCAGCAGGGTCCAATGAATGCTAGTGATAGGGTGAACAAAATCATTTTTTTCAGTTTTCAAAAGGCAAGAAAATAGAAATAGAAATAGAAGGTAGAGAGGGAGAGGGGGATGGGGACAGTGCGAGGAAAGGAGGGAGGGGGAAAGGGAGGGAGAGGGAAGGAGAGGGATAAGGAGGGAGGGGGAAAGGGAGGGAGAGGAAGAGAGGGAGGAGGAGGAGGAGGGAGGGAGAGGGATAAGGAGGGAGGGAGGGAGAGGATAAGGAGGAGGAGGGAAGATAGAGGAGGGAGGGAAAGGATAGAGGGGAGGGAGAGGGAGAGGAATAAGGAGGGAGGGAGGGAGAGGAATAAAGGAGGAGGGAGGGAGAGGGATAAGAGGAGGAGGGAGAGGGATAGAGGAGTAGGGAGAGGGATAAGGAGGGTAGGGGAGAGGGAGGGAGGGAAAAGAAAGAGAGAGAGAGAGAGAGAGAGAGAGAGAGAGAGAGAGAGAGAGAGAGAGAGAGAGAGAGAGAGAGAGAGAGAGAGAGAGAGAGAGAGAGGCGGGGGATGAGTGAGTGAGAGAGGGGGATGAGTGAGTGAGAAAGAGAGGAGTGGGTGAAGTGAGAGAGAGGAGTGGGTTGAGTGAAGTGAGAGAGGGGGTGGGTGAGTGAGTGAGAGAGGGGGTGGGTGAAGTGAGTGAGAGAGGGTGGTGGGTGATGGTGAGTGAGAGAGGGTGGTGGGTGAGTGAGTGATGAGAGGGGGGTGGGGAGTGAGTGAGTAGAGGGAGTGGGTGAGTGAGTGAGAGAGGGAGTGGGTGAGTGAGTGAGGAGGGAGTGGGTGATGAGTGAGAGAGGGGGTGGGGAGTGAGTGAGAGAGGGGGTGGGTGAGTGAGTGAGAGAGGGGGTGGGTGAGTGAAGGTGAGAGAGGAGAGTGGGGTGAGTGAGTGAGAGAGGGGATGGGTGTGAGTTGAGAGAGGGGAGTGGGTGAGTGAGTGAGAGAGGGGAGTGGGTGAGTGAGTGAGAGAGGGGAGTGGTGAGTGAGTGAGAGAGGGGAGTGGGTGAAGTGAGTGAGAGAGGGGAGTGGGTGAGTGAGTGAGAAGGGAGTGGGTGAGTGAGTGAGATGAGGGAGTGGGTGATTGAGAGAGGGGGTGGGTGGGTGGGTAAGTGAGGTAGAGGAGTGAAGAGAGAGAGAGAGAGGGAAGGAGAGGGAGAGGGAAGAGGGGGAGGGGGAGGGAGAGAGAGAGGAGAGAGAGAGAGAGAAGAGAAGAGACGAGAGAGAGAGAGAGAGGAGAGAGAGAGAGCGAGAGAGAGAGAGAGAGAGAGAGAGAGAGAGAGAAGAGAAGGAGGGAGAGGGAGAGGGAATGAGAGAAAGAGAGGGAGGCAGGAGGGAGGGGGAGAGAAGAGAAGAGAGAGAGAAGAAGAGAGAGAGAGAGAGAGAGAGAGAGAGAGAGAGAAGAAGATAGAAGAGAGAGAGAGAGGGAAGGGGAGGGAGGAGGGAAGGAGGGAGGAGAGGAGGGCGGGAAGGTTGAGATGTAGA